CAGCTAAATAAATATTTCGCTTACCGGATAAGGAGCGAGGCTGGAAATTCGCTGGGATATTTTATTTTCAAGTATGGTCTTAATTCTGCGTGGAAGCGGAATTTTCTCCAGGTAGGCGTGAGAAATACTCAACTTTACAGAAAAAGCAAAAACAAGTGCGTTTTGCACCGAACGACCGCTTTCATCCAAATATGTAACTGAACATTAGTTCGAGCAATATCACCACTTTTTAGTGAACTGGAAATTTGCATTTTTTCAAAAAGCCAGTGTTTACCGAGAAAATGACCGAGCTTCATGCAAAAAACTAGTAATCTTGTACCTGCAGGTCCATGCTGCTCTATAACGCAACACTCTCATCCCAACCGATGCCCATTCTGCTGCGCGCCGGAAGAAACCAAAGCATGGCCAATATGAGCCTAAGTGTTTGGCTGCAGTACATGGATTATTCCTGCTATTAACGACCCGCGAGTTTAGTGCAAAAACGCATGATCGCACCTGCAAGCTTGGCGCGTTCCAGCCTGGGTTATCCCCCGTCTCCATCCCACTTTGTGCTGCAGCAGCGGTGCAAAGAGCGTACTGTCATGACCTTTGTCCGGGGTTTTCAACTTGGTAACCAGAAAAGCTAGTAGGCTGAAACATTAGGAGGATTTCTCGTATCCGTGTGAGGTCCAATAAATCTGAATTCAACTCTTACACATGCCTATTCTTCTTTCACTATAGACTCATTTTCTTCAAAGTTGGTAAGAAAGATGCAACATTCGGTATGAGACGTTGATTCCCAACACAATTCAAGGTCACCGCGAACAGCAACAGTCTTGTCAAGTATAATTCAAATAACTCGAGTTGTATCACTGGTTCAGCAGCGCAAAAAGTGCAACCGTTTACGAGAGTGGCAAAAGAAAGAGTACTGAGATCCTCGAATGTAATCGATCTCCGACTTGTTCTTTCTTTTTTTAGGCTCAAGCTCGGACATTCTCATTCCCTCGTCAGCTATCTCTCTTTTTTCTTCATCTGATCAGTTTTTCAAAAAAGAGAAAGTTACAGCATTCCTAAGTAAGAAACTTTTTTTTCTTTGTAAAAACCGTATCACTTGGCGAAAAAATTCGCGTACTAATGCTAA